GTGGAGGGGGTGGACGGGGGGGTTGACTGTATGAACCACATTTTAATAACACAAACTGCCCTCTCAAGTCTCTGTCTCTGCGTGGGAGCTCTGTGGCGCGCCACCCTGCACCGTGCGGCTCCCAGGTCCTCAGCTGTAGGCTACGGGGTGATGATGTAACAGGAAGTAGTGGGTTGCCTTCCAACGTCAACCTGACAGCCGCTTCAGCTGCGCTCACTGAGAGCCGGAGATCCGCTGTGTCTGGTGCTCCGCAGCGAAGCCGAAGCCAGAAGACGCTTTAAGGGATTGACTTGGGAGAGTGTTCCAGCTCGGACCCCTGCGCTGCCGCTGCTGGATTTATACTCCGGTAGGACGCGCCGATGTGGAGTGTGACTTGTGTGCGATGCCTTGTGTTACTTCCATGTTTTCTGGGCAATTTGAGTTGCAGTAATGCCGAGTGGAATGAATGTAGAGTTGGCAGTGCATTTGCTCATCGTTGTGTGTTTATCGAGGTCATTTCGACTGTATCATGGATTACAGTGTCGAAGCATGTGCATTAATATAATATGCAATGATGTCCCCAATCCACTATAAACGTGAACACCAGTGTGAGCATCTATTACTGGCTTCAGTTAATCTGCATTGTCCTTCTGTCATGAACCTGGATGTGAAGAATATGGATTTGTAGTGCAACAGCGGGCTTCTGTGGGTTTTGGACACCATTAGGCCATCCACGCGCGTCGTGCTTTCCCATTTCTATCATTATAACTATATAATAGAGAGTTAACGTGAGGTATTCGGACTCACCTTTATCCGCTTGATGGAGCTTTTATTCACGACGTGTCAGATTGTACGTCGAGTGATGCACTGAGAGTTTACTCAGCTGTAGCCTACAGCACAGTCATGCTTCACGGTTATGCGTAAAAGCCTTTTAAATAGAATAAAACTACGCAGAATTTTCTTAACGTACACATTAGATTAACGCTGATGATACATGAACTCCAAGAATCAGTTTCAACATCGGCTCTCATGCATGGCTGATTGCTCTGTGGTTGATCTATACAACAACGGATTGCTCACATACAGTCTACCAGGCATTTATTCTATAGGTTAAATAACCACCGTTAAAGTGTGTGAAGTGAAACCGAAATGCACGCAGCAACAGTAATACAGTAATCCAGCTCCATTCAGCATTGGGGCTTTGATGCGAACTGTGGTCACTGGTTGCTAAATCATCTGCATGGTTACATAAGCAGCAGATTTGGACATGCTGGAAGTTTGTGGGCTGGACAGTGAAAACGAAAAGAATGATGATGGTGAATGATGGTGAATGATGGTGATGGTGATGATGATGCGTAGGAGGACATGATAACGGTGGTCACCATTGGCACGGTATACTGTGCTGAGGAAAGATGCATTGGAGTCATTATAAGGGAGGTGGTGGCAGAGCAGAAGCAGACTGGTTGTTCATTGCCAAGTTTGTGGACTTTTTCTGTCAACACTTCACATTTAATATAATTCTGCTGCACATTTCTCAAGGGGTTTGGATAATGAAGTGTTCCAAGACATTATTAACTACAGTTTAGCCCTTTCATATTACTGAATGGGAAAAACTGAAATGATCAAGAATCAAAGTGACTGTAAAAATTCAACAGGTTTTATACAACTGTTTGTATATGCTGCTGTGCTTTTAGACTTTGTTCTGAATTGTTTTTCATGTTTAAAACCCATCAAGAAATAATCTTTAAAAGTTTTCAATTTGTTTTAGAAATGTAAAACCACTTATATTAGGAACATTTTGCATTTTCTTGGTAATATAAATTGTTTGTGACTGAAAAAACAACCATCATAGGTACATATTTGTAAAATGAAAACCATCTTTAGGTATTATTTTTATAAATTTAACTCTTAAAAACCTCAAATCTGCTTCATCCAGACTGTGTGAGTGTGGTTTGATCAGATATGATTGACAACAGCAACAGTCAAATTCTGCAGCTTTTCAGTGTCTGGACGTGCCACCTTCGGAGACAGGTGACGTAGTGAGAAAGTCTGCATATAGAGGTGGTAGGGTGGATGATATGTCAAACAAACAGTATGTATGTTTCATCAAGTAAGTACTTTAATTTGCAACCTTTTCATAATCCTAACCACGTTTGTGCCTAAACCTAACAAAACTGCAACCATTTCACAATGTTAACCATACAAGCTCTATTTTAAACTGGCATTAAATATTTGTTATTGCTAGCTTGACCGAAATTTGCACAACTATCTTTACCGCAGAGCCCTGCACCTCCAGAAAAACCTCCATCACTAGCTGCATGTGTAAATGGGTTGTGCGCAATCAACCAGTGGTTTTCTTCTTTTATGTATATAATTTTTAGAGACTAAAAGCTGTAAAACTATCCAGTAGTTAACAAGACAGAACAGATATGAGAAGAAAGTCTGAAAACATAAACAGGATTTTGTGCAGAACAAATTTGTTTCTTCTTTCATAAACTGTTCATCATCACAAAACCTCTTAGATTTACTTTATGAACACTTGTGGATGTTCCGACCTTAGGTTAGGAACCACAACTCTACAGCTTTACTTTCCTCTTTGCGACATGAATGTCATGCCACTTCACTGACACATATTGTTGCAAGTGAATACATGTAAATATGCGTTTTAATATGAGTTCATCATTTGTAAGTTGTCCAAAATGCTCAGAAATACCAAAAAGTAATCCTAGTAAAACTGGCTTTTTACTTCACTGTCCATGCATGTCAGTTATCTGGACACTTTGGATTGTGAACGTATCAAAGCTGCCAGTTGGCACTGCTGTCAGATGACTCTGTGAGGCCTTTTTTCTCTGACATCTTCCAATGGCCCAGGCTTACACCACATGCACAAGCTGATTGTGCAGTGGGAATGTCATGTAACCATTCAGACTCAACCACCAAACTCAGGCTGAGTGTTTACTGCCTGAGTCCAGAAAACAGCTATTAAATGTTGACGAGACAAAGGTCTTGACAGCATAGCTTCCAAAGCCTTTGCAATCTCCATGGGGTGGTGGATCTGTTCCTACAGGAATGGCATTTAAGGTTGTGCCAGTGGAATCTCATTCACACTGTAGCTGATACTGCAGTACAGTAGCTCTGTGGTACATTGCGGTTAAATTTAGGATCACTTCTTTGCAGTCAAACAAAAGTGGTGATTTTCTTTCTGCCTTCCATTTGGGAGCAGTTTTTGTGATATTAAAATGGCTGTGGTGACACTCTATTGCAATTTTGCAGTGATTATATGTGTGTTTAACCGATCCACCCTCCTGTAAACACTGCTGGCAACCAACTCTGATGAGTGCAAAGGCCGCCCGATACACGGTCACAAGAGTAATGATGATTCCCCTGAAACTTCACCCCTCATAAATCATCAAGCTACACTGGGCTTCTGTAGCCTGCTTCATATTGATTTACCTCCTATGTTCCTTGTCTTGGGAACACCAATTCCATGTTCCTACAGCATCTTTTACTGTCGTTTATTCTCATTGTGGTTCATTGTGTTCCAGCTCGGACAAATCAGCAACCCAAGTATGCAGGATATGTTTTTTCCTGTCTGCTTACCCCAGGCTGAAGTTATCGTATTACACAAAAGCACAATGATGTTCATATGCACCAGTCTGAAGGTGCTCCCCTTAGGTTCTGGATTCAGTTTCGGGGACGTGAAACCTCATACATTATGGAGGGTCATTTTTCCCCCCCCTCTCCAGTGTAATTTCAGCACACAAGGTGCCTGATGAAACCTGTCATGGTCTTCAGAAGCAGCATCTGGGGACCTTTGTCTGTGTGCAGTGACTGGCAGTGTGAGCTGCAGATAGTAGACAGGGGAAAGAGGCTGTGTGGTTTCTAAGGGTGTTACATGTTTATGTGAGCTAAACAAACCGTCACTCACACAGGCTTCCTGATTTACTGTGTGGGAGGGGGCTTCATATGGAATAGAGGAAATGGCCCCTGGGAGGCTCTATGTTACTGTCTTGTTTGTCTTCCAAAGGTGAACCTGCAGTACCTCTTTTGAATTCTTGTAGCACAATTACACTGAAACATTTAAATGCTTTCGAGCCAGTATACTCTGCTTTGGACCGCTCATCCACACTGCATCATCTGCTGCCATGAGCAAATGTCTGCAGCAGACATTACCGTTGGATCTCCAATTAGCTAACGTGCTCTACTCTGAAAATGTGACTATTATTATTGGCAAACACTGGGTGCTGTAAGCTGCGCTAAAAACCTTTCCAGATTATAATAATCGGTTTCCAAGGTTAATTAAAGTCCCAAAGTACTTAAAAAAACACAGTGTATTATTGCCCATACTCTTTTTATTGGTCATTATAATGGCTAATAGCATGACCTGGATAAAAACCACATTTTGACTGGCTGGAGTCAAACCAAAAACCTCTAGCGAAAGGTTATTTCTGCAGACACTTGCAACACATAATATTTTGTTAAATTTGTCTTTAAATACATTGTCATACAAGGACCTATTTAAATGAAATTGCATGTTTTATTTCTGCTGCAGAAGCTAGCTCGTGCGCTGCAGCATGCTAAGCAGCTCTTTCAATTTTCCTTATTTCATAGCTACCCACAATCCCACCTGCAAGCTTTGTCTTACACCTGCAGCTGTGAGTGGTGGCACTTGTACACCTGCTTCCGTATGTTGGCATTGCCGGTTCAACAGTTTTCCTAATTCAGATTTTTCCAGTACCTCCTATACAGCATTTCAGATTTCACATTTGTATACTCTTGGTTGCTCACTTGTACAAGCAGTTAATGCCTTAATGTTTTTGTCACACAAACCCAAGGCATACAGAGAAACTTGATCCGGTTAGTAATGACGTGAATAGCTCCCTTGGAGGTCAAGTCTAGGGCCCGCAGCAAGCACATGGAGGATATTCCTGGGCTTCATTGGGGCCATTTTAAAACAGCAGTGAATTTGACCGAGCCCCAGGGTTATTTTTTGTTGTTGTAATACCAGTAGGGAACCACTAAAAGGACCCTGTGTTCACTGTTTTAATAAATATTAAAAGAGGTGTATTCAGACTGTGCCAAAGAATTAAGACAAAAAAACTACAACATATTTGTAATGTATATTTTTGACAGCTTTTTAGTGGACAGCTATCTGACTGCTCTTCCATGTACATTGTTTGTGTTTGTATCAAAGCATGTCACATATTTTACTATGGGAATTTGAGAATTCCATACTGACAGAATGAGTGCAGTATGGAGCTTTGGAAATGTTTGGGTGGATAGAGTGACACTGAACATTGGGAGGATTAGTGCTTGACTGGCTTGCAGAGAGATCCCAAAGGGTATCTTTCAGGGCTTATAATGTTT